ATGGGAAAAGCTTATATGGGAGTCCATGGATGATCCATGGAGCTCTTAACCCATGGATCCTTGGAAAGGAAAAGCCATGGGTTATTAGGGTTTACCCTAATCATGTGCACTATATAAACAAGCTTGTGATGCATGAAATGACACCCTAGTGGGTGAAGAAAGGTGGCCGATTTCTAGAGCATAGATATACTCTCTCATAAGTTTTCCAAGTTTGTGGTGATTTGTGATTTCCATTTGAGGCATTCACATTATTGGTGCTTGGCTCTCAAACTCCTAAGGAATCAATTCACAAACAAAGGTATGTAATTCATCTAGTTCTTTTATGTTTAAAAGTTCCCCATGTCATGCTAGATAACTTATAAACCTTTGAAAACAAATTTTGCATGTATTTTAGACAAACATAGATCCAAGGTTTATTAGGGTTGCATGTACACTTAGGAAGTGTTAGAATGCTCAAAACCCAACACCAACATCGTACGCACCATTACCTGCACCCTAGTCATCGTGATTGGCTCAGGCTGCGGATTATCGTTTCCGAATTCACTTTGCGTATTCGCCATTTCGATCTATACACCAATCGTAGGTGAATTTAGATCTTTATTTTCGATAGACGTTAAATCTTTGTTATTACCCCGAAACGTTTATATGTTAGTTCTAATATCGTAATCATACGTTTAGAATCCTACACACATAAGGTTTCCAGATCCGGTCGGCAATAGACCATAGATCCGAACAAATAATGGCATATATGGCAAACATATAGCATTTAGCACATAAAAGCATTTTAGGAATCTTTCCTAAAATAAACTAGTGCTCGTGTCTAAAATATGGTTGACACTCATCTCACAATCATCACTTAGCATTCTAAGTGTAAGTCTAGAAATCCTACAAATTTCTTAGTTCGCTTAAACTAATGCTCTGATACCAACTGTGACATCTCCTAATTTCTCGGCCAGAAAAGACCGATTTAATTTATGCTTTTAAAACAAAGTCAGAGAAATCTTTTTAAAAGATGTTGCGGAATTGGTCCCCAAAACAAAACATGATAAAAGTTTATAAAAACCTTTCTTTAAGAAAGTATATATATATATATATATATATATATATATATATATATATATATATATATATATATATCAAAACCTCGGGATGTCATGTTCCAATACAGATCAAAAGCATAAACAAGACATTATAAGTCTTTCAACAGTTATTTACAACTACTGGCCTATAATCCAAAAATCTCTCATCGTCCTCCGACTATGCTCGGGGTCCACTACCTGTAACATAAAAAGCTGAGTGGGTCAGGCTTAGGAGCCTGATGAGCATATAGGGTTTTCAACCCACAATAATAATAAACTTATTAAGTTCACCAATCAACAATAACCCTGATTACCCGTTCCCGTTATCCTCACTTTACGTCCCTAAACATTTATCACAAGGGACCTAGCCTAAAGAATATCATCGGGATGGACACTACTGCTAAGGGGTTTCCTCAGCCATACATGTCCTAAAGGCAACCATGAGGGGGATGGAGTACAGCGAATGAACGCTCAAGTTCATTAACACCTACAGGTTGCGGGCCTGCCAGCGTTTCCACTGGACTGTCTAGAAAAGTCTGTGGTCGTCATCCAAACTCCGCTAGATGACTGGATCACAATCACATCGAGGCCTCTCATCATTTTATTTCATCACACATCAACTATCTACCCATCTTTCACCCAACATATTTGTAGATAAAAATACTTATACAGTTTAAAACTTGTATAAAACATCTATTCAACAGTCACCTCAAATAAACAATTAATATATTTACACGTAGTACGTATTTTATAGAAAATGCTTCATATCTAGGTGTAAGATGAAGGTGACTATACACTCACATGATTTGATGATAATCGGACAGCAATTCATTTCCCAAAACGTTCGTTTCTAATAAAACCGGGAGTTTTATTCAGAAACCGGGCTCTGCGAGGGTCGGGCTTCGAAACCGAAAAGATAAATTTTTCGGGCTTCTCGGGCACTTCGTGGCGTATTCCGGGGGTTATAATTGATACCGGGGCTTTGGGGGATGTTAGAATGAAAGAAATATGGGTTTAGGGGCTAAAACTAAAAAGTTTTCAAAATATTCCCCGGGAGGTCTCGCACCCTCCTATTTATAGAGGCTGAAGCTGCTGATCCAATGCCTGAGAAGCCTCCACGCGTCAGCAGATCCGAAGGCTCACAGGTGGCTCGCACGTGGGCTGCGCATGCGAGGGGTTCGGTGGCATGTTCTAAGTGGACCGAAGCCTGGGTCCGAGGGTCGGGTCCGAAGCAGGAGGAAAGGGTGACAGCTGGTGCGAAGGTCGGACACGCGGCAGGCTTTGCGAGGTTCGGACTAGGCTGCACACGCGTCGCTCCTCGGATGCACCCCAGCTCCGGATGACTCAGCAATTCTCGGACACGCGTCGAATGCGAGGCGAGGACACGTGGCCGAAGTCCACGTATGCGAGATTCCTCGGTTTTTGCAATTTTTCTCGATTTTCGCGCCAAAACTTCTAAAATTCATAACTTTCGCATACGAGCTCCGTTTTTGACGTTCTTTATATGAACGCGTAGGTAAAATTATGCTCTACAACTTTCGTTTAGACTTTGTTGGCTAATTTTGAATTTAATTTTATATTATTATTTTTAACAGACCGGGACAGGAAATCCGTTAAAAATTCATAACTTCTTCATCCGATGTCCGTTTTCGTCAGACTTTTTACCGTTGTGCTACTATTTACGAGACATTCGATTCTCATTTAGGTTATGTCGGCTAAAAATCACTCGATCTAAAATTCGAGTTTTTAGTTGTCTACAGCTAAGCTGAAACTTCGAAAAATCATAACTTCCTCATACGAAGTCAGATTTGGGCGTTCTTTTTATACATACTCTCGATTTAACGAACACTACGATTTTCGTTTAGATCACTAAGGCTAAAAAGTAGTTTATCAAAAACTCACTTTTTACGACATTCGGCACCGTGCCCGTTTTGTCGCGAAACTTCGACATGTCATAACTTCTTCGTTATAACTCGGATTTCGGTATTCTTTATATATCTGTAATCCTTGTAACGCCCACTACAAGTTTCTTAATAGATATCAGCTTTATCTAATATTTTATTTTCGACGCTCATTTTTATTCTTAATTAATTAAACCCTAATAATTAAGCATAAAACACATAAAACACTTAATATTCACATAATTCCTTTTCGTTTCTTCAAAATGAGTCACAAAGGTTAACCTAGACTATCATGTCAATATTAATGTCTAGCCTAGAAACACGGGCGTTACATCTCGCTATATTATGTAGGATGTTAGATGTATTTTTAACTCTTTCATTGAAGGCAAAGGTTTGGGCCTGACATTTGAATGAAAAACCACGGTTTGGCATCTAATATATTCATGGAAGACCCGGGTTTGGCACTTGGCAATGATATGAAAGACCAGAATTTGGCCCCTGATACTTGTACAAGTAAAGGCCATGATTTGGCCCATAGCATCCGTTTGGGGTCGAAATAGACCCGTTATGTTATGTATGGTATTTGGTATTTTGGGGAACTAACTAAGCTTTGTACTTACAGTTTTATTTTTAAAATGTTTCAGGTACTTCTGGTACAAAAGGGAAGAGACTGGTTTGATTGCACAACATCTCTCCAAGATTTATTTTGCATTATCTATTTGATGCACTCTAATGTTTTGAAAATTTTATATACATTGATTGTTTTTGAACAAATGGTTGTATGGTTTGGGTGGTTTAAAAATTAAAATTTTTATTTATTTATTTTGTGACGTTACAATAAATTAAAATAAAAAATTATATTTTATTAAATCAAGAAAATTAGTTAACCCCTAAATTTGGCATTTTCCTTTTTTAAATTTATCTTAATGAACTAAAATTATCTTACAATGAAAAATATTTATTAATCAATTTCTTTAAATAACTAAAATGATTTGTGCACAATCATCCTTACATTCATACATCCACACTATAATATATATATATATATATATATATATATATATATATATATATATATATATATATATATATATAATGGGCTCCCTATGGGGGTTACGAGATGGGATTGCCTGCCCTTGTCCCGTCCTAAATGTTTTTAAACAAATAAACCTATATGGGTAACTCAAATCGTTTACACCATACTAAACACAAGGACCATGTTTACTATTTTGTCAAAAAGATTGGTCTTAATTTAAAGGTGAAGTGGATTACATAGTGAAAGATTTAGAATAGACAAAACTTCAAAAATATCCCTGTGGTTTTCAAAAATATCAAGTTTAGCCTCTAAGTTCAAAAAACCTCACAGATGGTCCCTGTGGTTTCAAAACTTTTAACAAATAGTCCTTTTCGTTAACTCCGTTAGCTTTTGGCCATTAAGTGAAGGGTATTTCTGTCATTTCACTGCCACAAGGACCATTTATGAAGATTTGTCTTATTTAAAAAAAAACTAATTATTTAATATTAAAGGGTCCCACCCTCTCTCTCTCTCTCTCTCTCTCTCTCTCTCTCTCTCTCTCTCAAAAACATCGAACCACCTTCTCCATTAGAAATTTAGAATCGAAGTTGTTATCTGCTCCTTCTACCATCATCACCACCAGGTGACACCGGCCAAGGTAAGTGACTTCATGCCTCTACTCCGATCAAAACACACAGATCCACCGTCATCCCTTCCCTTCAGCAACCCCTTTATTTCGATTGTTCAACAGTAAAAATAAGTATCTCCTACCTCCATTTTCGTTCTCTTCACCTTACTTCTACCCTGTCACCACCATCAATCATAGTCCATGGTTTCTTTCAAAGAAGAGAGCAAACTAGCGTAAGATGGTGGAGTAGGATCAGATATCGTTTTTATATTCATGTCTAGATCACGAGATAACCTTCGGGTTCTTGGAGGAACCATCGCAGCCATTTTTTGGGTTGCTGGACTGTAGAGTTCTACCAGTGTTGTTGTCAATCTCTGCTAACGATTTCCTTCTATGACACAAAGGATCAGTCTCCCCTCTGTCGATTTGCTCTCGGCTTGGGTTGTCGGTGAAAGCCTGAGGTGTGTCCTCGCCGGAGATACATTTCGCTTCACGTGAATCCTCTTCACTGTACTGGTATTTGGTTGTTCGGCACCACCATTGTTGCTCTTGTTAGTTGCCGGAACTGAAACCATCTTCGCCGGCCTATTGCTACTGCCGACGTCGGTCGCCCTGGTGTTTAGACTACGAAAAGGTGACTCAGACCTCCTACTAGGGGATATACTTATTCTTCTTTCTTTACTGCAAGACCTGTGGCGTCGCATTCTAGAAGGAGACGAAACCCTAACCTCCTCTCTGTGCCGGTGGTGGTGGTTGTGCAGTGCCTCATCGTTTTCAGTCTTATCATCACCATCGTCATTCTTCAAACTGGTGTCCAAATCGGAATCGAAGCTCCTCTTGGAACGAGAGTATCTTCTTCTGCGATTAGGGTTTTGAGATCCGGAGGAACTAGGGTTTAACGCATTGGGGTCGTCTTCATCGTCGTGTCTTTTGAGTTCATGGTTGATTTGGTGTTTGATGACGAAAATTTCCTTCTTGAAAACCTGTTGATCATTCATCGTGTTCTGTGGTTGTTGAGGGCTCGATTTGAGGTCGGATTGCGGGAAGCATGCTTAAGAGCGGTGGTTTTGGTGTTCTTGCTGAAACAAGCACCCAGAGAGAGAGAGATAGAGAGAGAGAGAGAGGGGGGGGGGTGGGACCCTTTAATATATAATAATTACTTTTTTTTTAAATAAGACAAATCTTCAAAAATGGTCTCTGTGGCAGTGAAATGACAGAAATATCATTCACTTAACGGCCAAAAGCTAACGGAGTTAACGAAAAGGACTATTTGTTAAAAGTTTTGAAACCACAGGGACCATCTGTGAGGTTTTTTGAAATTAGGGACTAAACTTGATATTTTTAAAAATCACAGGGACCATTTTTGAAGTTTTGTCTTTAGAATATTAGTCAAAAATATCTCACCAACTTAACAAGTACAATTCTTAAAGAAAGAGCAACTCCTAAGGTTTGCCTAAAGGATTTAAAGTGTCTGTTGTTGCTCATGTGCAACGTCATGAATACTATATTGGTTATTGTGAGGTTTGCGGGTGGAAATGTTAGTGAACATATATTTTTTTATTTAATGAAATTTTGAACTAAAATGAAGAAATAAGATAATTGTTAATATATTTAAGTGTTTGGAAATGTGGAGAAAGTGAAGGATTTCAGGAAAACTATATTTGTTGCAATTCTCTTCATTTGTAAAATATAAACAAAGTGGATTTTCTTTGTTGTACTAATCTAAGGGCTTAATATTAGAGATAGAAATGTGTTATGATCTATTTGTTTTTATCACATCGTACTTTCATAATTTTTTCTTAGAATAATGCTTTTTATCAGTATTATTATTATATTTTGTTTCTTAAGGTTGATACTTTGTAAAAAAAACAAAGTGGATTTTTTTTCGCTCAAATAGTTTTGTCAACCCAAGTTTAAAAACATAAACTAATTACTACAAAGTTAAAGTTGAACCACTTGCATATATATATATATATATATATATATATATATATATATATATATATATATATATATATATATATATATACTTCACATTTGATTTTCTCATTCATTGTGAACCTATTTGAGATCTGTTTGATCTCATACAACTTTAAAAAATGAAAGAATAAAATATAAGTATAAATAATATAGATTTTTCATTACAAAGTAAAGAAAAAATAAAATTAATCATTAAAAATTAAATTAAAAATGTTTAGGGAAACTTATTCATCGTAAAGTTTACAATGTGGATTGGCTTATAGTGGTTTAAAAGGAACGGCGGATGTTGTGATTAAGAAAAATTAATTTACTAAAAAAATACAATTAACCATAAAAAACTAAATAAAAATGTTAAAAAAAAACCTTTCTCATTTTTAAATAAATTTCTATCTTTATATTTTAACATTAAGGTGGTCCCATCAAGTTCTGAGAGTACAAGAATAAGAGTTTAAGAAGCTAAAATTATGAATGTGCACAAACATCTCCAACTTTAGCATTTGAATATTAGAGTGTCTATCCTTGGTAATGGTGGTGTGGGGGTGGGCATATCCGCCGGAATGCTCGTTGAGGACAAATCGAGAAAAAAATATTTGGACAGGATGTTGATCAACCTGCCCAAAATTCAACATCTTCGATATTTATTATTTTCTTATAGTTTATGGTATAATTCCATCCTATTCCTTACCCAAGTTTAGCATCTACATAAAGTTTAGCGATCTCGATCAAGTTTTAAGCATGCTATTTATCATTCTCGCAACTACCCAAACTTGTAATCTCTATGTGTAATCATCTTTAAGTAGGTAAATAGTGAAGATATGCTAGACGTTAATCTAGTTCTTTTATAAATGCTAAATAAAAATCTTTTATCTTTTTATTTTTCAAGATCCTGAAGCCAACATGGACCAACTACAAATCTATCCGGTTTGAGCCAAACACTTAAATGTTTGCAAAAGGTTTCCATCTTTATAGAAGGTTTCCAAACTTGTAAGTTGTTGATTACAACCACACCATGTCATAAATTAACTTATGTATATGTTTATTAGGAGTCCAACTATCCAAGTTAGCCCAACTTTAAAAATCCAAACCTTAAATAAATGAGATTAAAAATCAGCCCAATAAGTGAAAGAATAATATAGGAATATAGTTAGGTTTTGACTTGTGTTTCAATTTGATTCTTGCAAAATTTCAACTTAATATATATATAAATTTTGATTTGATAAGGTAACAATGAGTCTAATATGAAAGGAAAACACCAAGGGGTTCAAAAAATAATTCTTAAAATTAATCCGAGAGCTTTATATATGTCTTCTGTTTATCATAGTCTTAACATGACAGCTAGTGATATGACACTTTCTTATGGAAAGTATTGTTAGATAATATTCCAAGATTACCCTTAAAATCATTATCTAATACTCGTTGGGAAAATATGCTTAAAAGTATAAAAGCTATTAGAATTAAAGTTTCTCAAATAATATTTTTTTGCTAGATTTAAGTAAAACATTTGATGATCTAAAATCAAAAAGTGAAGCTGAAAGTTTACTTAAATCTTTTGGGAAATATGAATTTTTTACTTGGTATGGTTATTAGGCATGATGTTCTAATTCTTGTTAATATGGTAAGTTAAATGTTGCAATTTAAAACTATTTGTATTGAGACTACTATTAACAAAAGTTCAAATATAATGACCAGAGAAAGATATGTTACATAAGAATGATCTTGCTGGAATTATTAATGATTTTACATCTAAAAATTCTAGGAGAAATACTTTTCTTTAAATCAGTTGTTTTTGTAATGTTGTGGTCATATTTGTGTTTTTTCAATATCAATAGTTAATTTTGTGAATTTCATAATTATGTGTTAATTTTCGATTTAATTTTATTATATTTATGATTTTAAGTGGCCATTTGTTTTTTCCTCGTGGCTTGGGAAAGGCCATGCTTAGATGTAATAACAATTTGGAAAGAGAAAGATTTTAACAGCTAAGACTTGTATTACTTTGAGAAACTCCATAATATACAAGGATATATGGTGTGACCTCTCTGTGGGTTGAAGCAAAAGAGTTCCTTTCAATTTATACTAGTTTCCACCTCCTTGGCGGAACATTCTAGATATCGCTACATATATCTTACATAAAATAATAATCTAGATACTTTTATCTATCTCCAAACTTATTTACAAGGCTCCGTAATGTTCTAGACTTTTCATTGGTGTATTAGAGAAGCCTATGATGTTTTTGGGACTTCCATTATGTTTTAGGACGTTCCATATTCTTCCAAGAGCATCCATGATATTCTAGCATTTTCACAAATTTTCTGGTGTGTCCCATTTCTTTTTCAAATTCTTATTGAGTATTCTTGAACGCTACAGTGCTCTCTAGAGAGCTCCATAAATTTCAAGAAACTTGGTATGTGACAACATGCTTTGATATAGTTACAGAAATTAATGGTTCGTCGGGTCTCATAAAAAGCTGAACTCATATATGTGTGAGACAAAGTAAGGTTGCTCATAACTAATTCTTTTTTACATGTTTGACTAGTCCAAACACATTAAAAACTTATTATCCATGGTTATTTGATTTTCTATTTACCTTTCTGAAAATTACTCTATATTTGTATTGTATGATGTATTGTAGTTTTTGGATAAACTTCATAGTGCTCTTTGTTTCCTTCAGAACTCACCAAATCCTAAAGAACATTTTGCGACACACTTCTAGATGGTAAAGTAAAGTGTCCTAAAAGTATAATTATTATTTTTATATGATATGAGAGTTGTATGCTGAATTGCAATTGCATTTTTATGTAATTTGAGGAACCTCAAATTGATGCGGAACCAGCTTCAAATCATTTTGAATCCCCAAATGGCATGGACTATACATTAAATCGACTATCAAATATGTAGAGAACATTTTAAAATGATCAAGACTGGAAATGCAAAAGATGTTCAAAGAAAACTTGACATTACGAAAGATGTTATGAAGTTCCCTCGAGCCTTAACTAAAGAAAAATGTTCTACTTGGATCCCAAGCCATAATTATATAATAATGTTCATTAAACTATAATTTTTCTTTATAATTTCGTCTTTCTAAGTATATTCGCATTATAATTCTTTTCTTTTTGTTACCCTTGATCTGTTTGTGGTGTAAATAGTAGTATTCATGAAAAAGAAGCCGGTGATCTGGGATTTTCAGTGAAAGGTAAGGTATACTATTTAACACCACCTGTAAATTCCTAAATGTGCTTAACTTATTTTATTTTATGACAAAGGATATGGAAGTAATAGGTATTCCATTATTCCTATTGCATTAATAATACTTGTTTGTTTTGTTTTTTCAAAGATGTTTAAGAATAGTTTCAATTGCATATGTCAAATTTTTTTGTTTATTGAAAAATCTTTTTTACCTCATGTAGAATGCAACTTACTTTTATAAATCACATATGTATAACAATGTGTGACATGTTAGCCGCTAACCAACATTTTTGACGATGATTCGACCATTAATCAAATAGTAACATCACTAATATCATTCCAACATCAAAAAAAAATTAAAAAGGGAAAATATCAAAAAATCTAAATCTAAAAAAGATCATATATTGGAAATCCCGTATGACTATTTCATATACACCTTATGGTGATGACCGGATGGCATGGTTCCCACATGAACACCACCCCCGACACGTGGTTATGGTGCGGGGATGAAAAATATGTACCATAGAAAACCAACCAACATGTTATCAACCGAACCAAAAATATTGGTAACCAATATGTTTGGTTAGTAGTATCATGCCAATTACGTAATCTTGGTACGGTAGCGATATAGAGTTTTCAATACCACGATAGTACCATACCAAGCAATTCATTTTAATATATATATATATATATATATATATATATATATATATATATATATATATATATATATATATATATATGTCTCTGTGTGTGTGTTTGGTGTTTTAAATTTTAAGACATTTGATATTATCATTTACCGTATTAGTAAAGTTTAAACTTTAAACTCATC